AGTTCTATCATCTCAAAATATTCCTATGCATGCGTCTTAGATGCATTACTACAGTGGTTTACTTATGATGGTACTCATCCTTCTTGGGGAGAAGGGAGAGGAATATAGAACAAGTATACCATCCTCTGCCTGGATGATTGTAAGCAAGGAAGTACGGATGAGGGCAGGTAAATATGAGATAAGCAAATCCTGGATTTGGGAACAATGTAAAGATAGTTTGGCACCTAGTAATGCTCCTTTAGCCAATGTTAATTTGTGTAACAATTTTAATAAAAAATTTAAGGACAAATGTATGTTGTACTTCATGGATACTTTTTAAAAAGGGAATTCATGCAATCTTGTTACAACAGTATGATGATCACTGGAAACTAATGATCACAAATATATTTTGCCAGCATGCTCAAATGGAGAAAGTTCTACTGTTAGCTCATGGTTACAAAAAAACCTTTATGGCAGGGATCCCCAGCATGATGCCCATAAATATAACAGTGCTCACAGATATGTTCCTTGGTGTCCACTTCTTCCCCAAACCATCTCTTCCCCAAAGTAGAGGGTGAATCCTGACCACAGGAGGTACTGGCTTTGGATATGCATGGAATATCCATTCAGAAACAGCTACCTGCCTCGTAGGTTGATGTTTGGCTTAGAACCTCCCAACATTTTGTGACTGTTCCCCATGGCAGCCATTTTGTGATTGGTTCCTGGTCCCATGAAAGCCATTTTGTGGTGGTACCCACTACTACTCTTTCTCAGAATTCCAAAAATGCCCACAGGATCAAGAATTTTGGGCGCTCCTGATTTAGGAGAAGCCAATTAAGGTAGAAATAAAAATGTATGACTACAATAATTCCGTAAATTGAAACATCAGATAAACAGAGCAGGGGGGTTGAATCCTCTCCTCCCCCTGCACTGCAGTTCCAATCTAAATTGGGCCCCTGCAGCATTTGGGAACCTAGTTGGAGCAGCTGACCTCTGCCCGTCAGAGCATTAAAGTCATATTGGAGGGATGCGGCCCTGACTTGGGGGAAAACTGTCATGTCTAGTTTGGCCTTAAGTGCCCCAGCATCAGGCCACATAACTCATAGCCCTGTACTGGCACCCTGTCTTCTGAACAGTGGGTATCCTGGTTAGAGCTTATATAGTGCTTTGGAGGGCTATAACTGGCCATAGGTTCAGTTGATATATCAAACTCCCCCAGGTCATGGATGTGGGATGTAAAAGGTATTAGAGTTTTTCACTGACATGAACCTCCTGGAATGTTTCAGAGATATGCCAGGGCTTTTGGTGGTGTAACACCTGCACTGGAACTGGGAGAGAACAGGGTTGTAGAGGCTTAGGAAGGTGACTAAGTCCTGTCCTGTCCATGACATGCCCCTGCTGCCACCCAATTTTACATCGGCCAGGTAGTGGCATAGTGTTGCACTAATGTTGGGGGCATACCAGGGCCTGGGGAGACTTAGGATGGTGATTAAGTCCTGATCTTCCCATGACACACCCCTGCTGCCATCCAGTTCTATCCTGGCATGGTTCCAGCAGGGTTTACCACCAGCATAGGATACTCTGGTTTAGGACTTCGCTGCCATCCTAAGACTATTCAAGTGAGGGCTTAGGTAGGCACCATATATGGCAGCAAGCACCCTTTTCGTGTTCTTTGCAGCAATTCTAGTTTAAGTGATATAAGAGCATTTATCCATTTTCCATGATACGATATTGCTTTAGTACCCTGCTTAAATCTGTTAATCCACTTTCTATTATGTATGCATATCCAGGGCTATTTTGGGGCAGGAACGCACAGGAACGGAGTTCCGGCTGGCTCCTGAGTTGGTCACACTCATCAGGAACTCATTAGCATAATAGGCCACACCCAACAACAGAAACTCATTAGGATTGGCTATAATAGGCGTGTGTGGCCTAACATGCAAAGGAGTCCCTGCTACAAAAAAAAGGCCCTGGGTGTTGACAACAAACAAGGTAAACGGAATAAGAAGCAAAAGGTGGGTGTGGCTGGATGACCACACTTCTGGCAACAGGGGGCTGTGACCTAATATGCTAATGAGATGTGGTGTCAGGGTGTGGCCTATTATGCTAATGAGTTCCTGCTGGGCTTTTCCTACAAAAAAAGCCCTGTGCATATCTTTGCATTTGATGAATCTGAGTGTACATTATTTCAGGATTTTGCTTTTTTCTTTTGTTTTACAAATGGAGCACCTGAGAAGAATTCAGGTCTTCAGTTAATTGTGGGGTGGAGGAAGCATGAATGACAAGGCTAAAGATAGGTGTGATGCTAGAGAATACTATGCAGCTATACCTTATTCACTCCATAAAATACCTCAGAGAATCCGAAAGTCTAAGGGCAATATCTGGGTGAGCACTCAGTTATCTTTGTTCCCATAAACTTAATTTTATTTTCATCCAGTTACCTGGAAGGTAACTCAGAGTCCTCTAAAGAGCAAAAAGTAGGATACTTCTGTATACGTATGCTCTGTTTGAAACTGTTGGGATACAGTTATTATCCCACTCAGGTTCATTTGTCTGATCAGATTCTGAATCCATAGACCTGAAGATCAGGCTTTGGACAGGACTTTTTGATGAAGAAAAGGAAGAATCTAATGACCAAAGATGTGAGAATAATTTCATGACAAAAAGCAACTGAAGTTTTGGGATGAGACTCTGGGTGTCGCTGTTCACCAATTCAGCAGAGAAATGCACTCAAATCAGCCAATTCAGCTTCACTGTTCTTCACTATTCAGAAACATTTAACAGAGTGATCAGGAGTGGATCAGATGCAACTTTTGGTTTAAGAAAAAACAGAGGGACCCTATCCTGTTCCAGTGAGCACCAGTGCCGTTTACCTTGCTGTCAGGAGATGGAAGAAACACAGAAGCTGTGGAGCTGCAAAGAAAAAGGAATCTTTCAATATCTAATCCTGCTGTTTGTTTGGAAAGCAGTTGCTGGGCAGATTCGCTATTCCATTCCTGAAGAGATGCAGAAAGGCTCTTTTGTGGGGAATATCGCAGAGGACCTGGGAATGGATGGAAAACATCTTCCAGACCATGACCTGCGGATAGTTACTAGAACAGGTATGGTTCAGTATTTTTCTTTAAACATCCACAATGGTCATTTACAGACCTCTGAGAGAATAGACAGAGAGGCAATTTGTGGACAGACAGAGAAATGCATCTTAAATTTTCAGGTTATTGTTGAGAGTAAAAGAAAACTGTATGGAGTTGAAGTGGAAATTACAGATATAAATGACAATGCTCCTCAGTTCCCTCCTGGGGAACAAGAACTGAAAATCAATGAAATATCTACCCAAGGGTCCCGGTTTCCTCTCCCTGAAGCTCAAGATCAAGATCTTGGAATTAATTCTGTGCAGAGTTACCAGCTCACAGGCAGCAGCCATTTTTCTCTGGATGTGAAAATGGGAGAAAATGGTGCCAGGCATGTGGAGTTGGTATTAGAAAAAATTCTCGACAGGGAAGAGCAATCAATGTATGAACTAATCCTCACAGCTACTGATGGAGGTGATCCAGTTAGGACTGGCACTGCTCAAATCAAAATCATTGTTTCAGATGCGAATGACAATGCGCCAGTCTTCAGTCAGCCACTCTATGCAGTGAGCATTGAGGAGAATATTCCTATAGGGTCCACAATTTGTAGAGTTAGAGCTGTTGATCTGGATGAAGGAATCAATGGAGAGCTGAAATACTCCTTCAAAAAAGCCACCAAGAAGGACTCACTAATGTTTTTTCTAAACTCAACAACTGGTATAATAACAGTCATGGGGGACATTGACTTTGAGGTATCATCCTTTTATGAATTGGAGGTGCATGCTGAGGACTATGGAGGACTGTTTGACAGAGCAAAAGTTGAGATCACAGTAACAGATCTGAATGATAATGCCCCTGAATTAGCAGTTTCCTTTCACACAAACTCCATCAATGAGAACTCACCCACTGGAACTGTTGTTGCTATTTTAAATGTAGAAGATCAAGATTCAGGAATTAATGGTGAAGTCACATGTTTAATTTCCCAAAATCTCCCTTTTCAGCTGAAAAAATCTATTGGTAACTTCTACAGTTTGGTGACAGTTGATGCCCTTGACAGGGAACAGATGGAAGCATACAACATTACGATCACAGCCAAAGACCATGGGACACCCTCCCTTTCTACTACCGTAATCATTCCACTACAAATTTTAGACACAAATGACAATCCTCCCCTCTTCCCCCAATCATCCTATATCTTCTACCTCATGGAGAATAACCAAAGAGGTGCTTCTGTCTTCTCACTCAAGGCAGATGATCCAGATTCGGAAGAGAACTCCAGGATAAAGTATTCCATTATAAAAGGTCAGATGGGTGATTTTGCCCTCTCTTCCTTCCTGTCCATTAATTCTGAAACTGGAATTATTTATGCTGTGAGTTCTTTTGATTACGAAGAGTTCCGAGAAATTAACTTCCTGGTCCGGGCACAAGATGGTGGATCTCCATCACTCAGCTCCAATATTTCAGTGACTCTCTTCATTCTGGATCAGAATGACAATGCCCCAGAAATTTTGTACCCTTCCCCTCCCACTGATGGTTCCACTGGGATAGAGCTGGCCCCTCGCTCCTCTGAGCCTGGCTACCTGGTCACTAAGGTGGTGGCAGTAGATGCAGACTCTGGCCAGAATGGATGGCTCTCCTATCAGCTACTCAAGGCCACAGAGCCAGGGCTCTTCTCCATAGGACTCCACACTGGAGAGATCAGGACGGCCCGTTTCTTTCTGGACAAGGATGCTCTCAAGCAAAGCCTGGTGGTTTTAGTGAAGGACAATGGGCAGTCCCCTCTGTCTGCCTCAGTCACGGTCACTGTGGTGCTGGCCGACAGCATCCCTGAAAGCCTCTCTGATATTAGTAGCATCTCAGCTCCTGCAGACCCCCAGTCGGACCTTACCTTCTACCTGGTGGTTGCTGTGGCTTTTGTCTCCTGCTTGTTCTTCACCTTCCTCCTTGTGTTGCTTGCCATCAGGTTGCACAGGTGGAGAACTTCACAGTTGTGTGATTCTAGAAATGTGAATTTCAGTGGTGTTCCTGTCTCACAGTTCGTGGGGATTGATGGAGTCCGATCATTTCTTCACTCTTATTGCCAAGAGGTTTCTCTCACCACGGACTCTAGGAAAAGCCAGTTCAATATTTCCAAGGCAAATTATTCCAACAATCCAACAGACCACTTGACTGGTGAAATAAAAGATCCTATCCTAGCTGGTGAAGATTTCAATTTAACCAGTGGAGATCAGATCATACTCCAGGTGAGCTAGCGTTTTGTTGTTAAATTACCAGGTAATTATTGATCTTTTACCCAGATTTTAAGCACAGCATCTTGCATTTTATCTTTTATTCAGCTGCCTTCTCTGTGTTTTTCACTAAGTCATCATCATGTATCTCTGTAATGCCTTTTCTTGAAACCCTCAGTAAGAACAACAGTTACCTCAGCGCAGGAAATTATTAGTTAATAATTATTAACCATTTGAGTAATGGATAGTATCTCCTTCAGGTCTATCATGTTCTTTACGTACATTTTTGGTAGTATTTGCAAATATTTAATAACATTGCCACTCAACGAGCAGGTAGTGCATGGCCTTAGTTCAAATGTGAAAATATTAAATAGCATTCATGTAAGAAGCAGACTACATTTGAATGTATGAAAGATGTATGGAAACTGAAAAGATGCATGTAATGCATATATAGTTAAATGGGGAAATTGAGTAACGAGAAAAATGTAAAGGTCCATATGTAAGCAAAAGGAATCAAATGCACAGGTGTAAGATGGGAATACCTAGTTTGACAGTAGTACATGGGACAAGAATCTCGGGATTAGAGTTGATCACAAACCAAACATGAGTTGGTAGTGTGACACAGCTACAAAAAAGGCCAATACTGTTTAGGCACTGGAATTTTGACCCAGGGTGGTGGGTGCAACCACAAACTGGCTGGTATGGGAGGCAGAGCCAACCACAACATTTTTGCTTCAGGAGGTGGAGCCATGTGCACAAACACACACACACATACAGAGGAAGTCCAAGTGCAAGAGAGAAGAGGGGTATGCTTTTACAAATATAGTGGGAAAGAGGAGTGAGAGATAAAGAGAATAAAACCAAAACAAGCAGCTGCCACTGAAATGTTTTTTTAAAAAAATATCAACAGCCAATCAGATCTCCAATGCTCTGCTGGGCAAAAACCCCACCTGGTCCTGCTTACTTTCTAAAAACACTTTGCAGGTGCCAGAAAAGGTGTCAGTGGGCACTGTGGTATCCACAGGCGCCATGTTGAGGACCCCTGGGTTAGACTGTGTGACGGACTTAAAGATCTGGGACCAGCAGAAAGTAAACACAGAACACCGATGAGTCACATGACAGAGTGAGGAGGGGGCCATTTAGCTCGGAACCCTCGGTGATTGGCATTTAACGGACCAAACAGTCAGTTTGGATCTGGCAGTTGAAGAGAAGTACTTAGTCAGTGGACCAGGAGAGTTGATGAGAGGAGTTAACAGGAGCAGTCGGCTAACTGAGTTTTGAGAGAACAGCCTGTTAACAGTTGATGTAAAGAACTGTGGCTGAAGAGCACTCTGCACTGATTCCTCTGATATACCAAGGAGAGTAAAAGTATAAGACCTGAGTGGTCACTGACACCAGAAACACTGCTCCTCATGGACTTATAAAGTGGCTGAGTAAAGGCTAGAGTGTCTGGAGAGAGGAGTCTGGAAGGCTGGTTAGGTGACCAGTTAGACTCAAAGGGGCCAGACAAATAAAGCCCAAAGTTAACCTCTAAAGGAGTGACTGGAGAGTGAGATCTGAGTTGTGTGGTGTGAACTAAGGAACATCTAGGTACTGGACTAAGAGTGGAAAGTAGACAGCCTAAGCCAAGGCAAAGTGATTGGTTTATTCAACAAAGTATCAGAACTTCCTGTGTAAATAAATCCCCGTTCTGACATGAAAGCTTGCTGGATGACTTTGGGCCAGTCATGCACACTCAGCCTAACCTAACTCACAGGGTTGTTGTGAGGGGGAAAAGGGGGAGGGAAGAACAATGTTGTCTGTCTCTTGGGGTCCCTGTTGGGGAGACAGGCAGGGTATAAATGAGGTAAATAAAGAAATAAATGTTCCATTCAACTCTGCTGAGCTTTTCTGGATTACTGTGTCCATTACTGGGCACCAGGCTTTAATAAGGTGGTAGAGCAACCAGAAGGGGTTCAAAAGAGGGGAGCAAAGATGGAGAGAGGGGTATAGAAATGTGCTGAGGAAAGTTTGAAGGGACTGGACCTGTTTCGGCTGGAGAATGGAGATATGATCACACTCCTCAGCTGAAGTGTACTGTGCTGTTCCAGAGGACAAGCCTAGATCTTATGGACAGAAGTTACAGGAAGATGGATTTCAGCTGCACATTAGGAGAAGCTTCCTAATGGCAGGGGCAGTTCAACAATAGAACCAATTAGCATAATGTCTAGGTCCACTCTTGTTGGCTGAATGTCTTCATGCAGAGGCTGAATAGCTATCTGTGGGAAATGCTTTCGGTGTCCTGCATTGTGCAGGGTTCAGAAAAGATGGCTTATCAGATGTCTTTCAACATGAAGATTCTATGAAACGAAGCACAGAAAACAGAATTGGTACATATATCATAATGCTATTTTATGTATAACTGTGTCTAATCTTGACGACACTATCAGGATTTTTGAGCACTTTTTTAATAAAGAAAAAGAAGAATTTGATCAAGGAAAACAGAAGTGTGCATTTAATAAATATTATCTGTAATTTCTGGTCGTGACTCTGGGTGTCGCTGTTCACCAATAAAGAAAAATTATTTTTTCTAAAAGATCCAGCTAACAAAGCACTGCAGTTGAAGACTGAAGAACAAAATAGCAGAGTGATTAGATCTGATCTGATGTTACAGGGAAGGAAACAAATACAACATTTATTTTAAAAACCACTCAGAGAGACCTCCTTTCCTTGGATTCAGAGCCAGAAGAACAAGAATCCCTTACCTTGCTGCAAGGAGATGGGAGAGACACAGGAGCAATGGAGCAGCATCAACAAAGGCACCCTGCAATACCTAATCACACTGCTGGTGTGGAAAGCAGTTTCCGGGCAGATTCACTATTGCATTCCTGAAGAGATGCAGAAAGGCTCCTTTGTGGGGAATATTGCAAAGGATCTAGGAATGGATGGAAAGCATCTTTCAGAACATGGACTCCGGATCATTACTAGGACAGGTATGATTCAATATTTTGCTTTGAACTTCAACAGTGGGATTTTACAAACTTCAGAGAGAATAGACAGAGAGGCGATCTGTGGACAGGCAGAGAAGTGCACCTTAACTTTTCAGGTTATTATTGAGAGGAAATTAAAGATTTATGGAATAGAAGTGGAAATTACAGATGTGAATGATAATGACCCTCAGTTCCATCCATGGGAACAAGAGCTTGAAATCAGTGAGGCATCTGCATTGGGGTCCCGTTTTGACCTTCCTCGAGCTCAAGATCCAGATCTGGGTATAAACTCAATACAAAGTTACCAACTCACAAGCAGCAGCCATTTTTCTCTGCATGTCCAAATGGATGAAAATGGCATTAGACGTGTTGAATTGGTGTTGGATAAACCTTTGGACAGGGAGGAGCAATCAGTTCATGATCTGATCCTCACAGCTTCTGATGGGGGAGATCCCGTGAGATCCGGCACTGCTCAAATCCACGTAATTGTCCTAGATGCAAATGACAATGCTCCAGTTTTCAGCCAACCTGTTTATGAAGCATCTGTCACAGAAAATATTCCTAAAGGGTCCACAATAGTTACAGTAAGAGCAACCGATTTGGATGAAGGAATCTATGGGGAGATAAAATACTCTTTTCAAACACCAGTGATACGTAACTCTCAAACATTTCTCCTTAACTCTACAACAGGTGAAATAACTCTTGCAGGAAACCTTGATTATGAGGATTCATCCTTATATGAATTTGAGGTACAAGCCAAAGATGGGGGAGGCCTGAGTGACAAATCAAAAGTTGTGATTTTCATTATGGACTTGAATGACCATGCACCTGAATTAGAGGTAACCTATCTCACCAGTGACATCCTCGAGAACTCACCAATTGGAACTGTTGTTGCCATTCTAAATGTGCAAGATAGTGATTCAGGAAGCAATGGGGAGATCACATGCTCCATAGATCCAAGCCTCCCTTTTCAGCTGAAAAAATCCATGGATAACTTTTACAGTTTGGTGACAGATGGCGTCCTGGATAGAGAGCAAGTGGCATCCTATAGTATCACTGTCACAGTTATTGACCATGGGATCCCTCCTCTTTCTACAAGCACTGTGATAGCTCTAAACCTTTTAGACACAAATGACAATCCTCCCCTCTTTGCAGAATCAGCATATACAACTTATCTCCTCGAGAATAATTTGAGAGGGGCCTCCATCTTTTCCTTTAAAGCCAATGATCCTGACTGGGAAGAGAATTCCAGAATAACATACTCCATTATGGCAGGACATGATCAATCCCTTTTCTCATCATACCTGTCTATTAATTCTGAAAGTGGTGTTGTCTACGCACTGAGCTCTTTTGACTATGAAGAGATACGGGAGATCAACTTCTGGGTTAAGGCCCAAGATGGAGGCTCCACATCACTCAGCTCCAATGTTTCAGTGACTCTCTTCATCCTGGATCAGAATGACAATGACCCCCAGATCTTGTACCCGTCTACCCCCACTGATGGCTCCACTGGAGTAGAGCTGGCTCCTCACTCTTCTGAGCCTGGATACCTAGTCACTAAAGTGGTGGCTGTGGATGCAGACTCTGGGCAGAATGGATGGCTCTCCTATCAGCTACTCAAGGCCACAGAGCCAGGGCTCTTCTCCATAGGACTCCACACTGGAGAGATCAGGACGGCCCGCTTCTTTCTGGACAAGGATGCTCTCAGGCAAAGCCTGGTGGTTTTAGTGAAGGACAATGGGCAGCCCCCTCTGTCTGCCTCAGTCACGGTCACTGTGGTGCTGGCCGACAGCATCCCTGAAAGCCTTTCTGATATTAGCAGCATCTCAGCTCCTGCAGACCCCCAGTCGGACCTCACCTTCTACCTGGTGGTTGCTGTGGCTTTTGTCTCCTGCTTGTTTTTCACCTTCCTCCTTGTGTTGCTGGCACTCAGGGTGTACAGATGGAGAACTTCTCAGCTGTGTCATTCTGGGAGTATGAATTTCACTGGTGTTCCAGTCTCACAGTTTGTGGGGATTGATGGAGTTCGAGCATTTCTTCACTCCTATTGCCAAG